GATGCGGGGCTCGATCCCAGGACCCTGGGATCATGACCTGAGCCGAAGGCAGACGCTTAACGACTGAGCCACCCAGGTGCCCCGACTTTAGTTTTTCATGGCCTGACTTTCCCACTGTTCTAAAGAATGAAGCCTCTACTGTGCTTCCCTTCTTGCTGAGATAAACCACCCCACCCCTCCCCCAGCATACTCCCATTCAGTTATAGCTTGTCTGCGGTCTGTCCTGAAATTACGGCTCTTAAGACATAACTCCCTTAAACAAGAAGGATCAGGGCTCTAGAAGGAAGTGTGCTCGCCTGCCAATCTTACCGGTAGACTAGTCAGTTTATTGCAGGACAGATCCAGTATGGTGGCCTTCGGGAGGGCAGCCTAGGAAAAGGAATGAGAACAAAATGTCAAATCAACACATGGAATGATTCAGTGACATGAAGCATTTTCCAGAGAAAATTCCCACAATTAGGAAGGCCTTTAAAAATTAGCACTGGAATATAATAGTAGTAATAATAATATAACAGCTGCATGCACCAACATTTACTACCTACCAAGTATATTACATTACAATCTTAATCCTCACAGCCCTGTAAAATGGGAACTATTATCACCATTTTATAAATGAGGAAATCTATGGGTATAAAGGTTAACTGGCTTGCCAAGGGCAGGGACACAGCTCTTCAGCAATGGAACTGGAATATGAACTGGAAGTCTGTTCTAACCTCCGCACTACAGAGCCAAGTGCCAAAGGCAAATGTAATTCATTAAAGGCAGGAAAAGGTAGGGCACCCAAAGTGACCCTAGTGTGCCGGTAGGAAACCTGGTGGGAAAAGCAGGGACTATGATCTAACTCCACTTTGGCAACAAACTAGTTGTGTAATCTTCCTGGGACCTCAGGCCTGTTTCCTGGCTGGGAGTTTGGGAATGGTTGGGGCGAGGGGGCGGTGGGCAGCAGCAACTGGATTCCAGCCAGTTTAAGCTGAGTTGGGAAGAGCCCTTGCCAACCAAGCAGTGACACTGCACAGTCTTCAAGGAAGGACGCCTCAGGGGCCAGGACAGCTAGCTGGGACTGCCAGCTTCCAAGAAATGCAAGGTTCCGGGCCACACCCAGGTCTACCCAGAGGCCTACTTCTCAGAGGAGTCATTCATTCATTTACTCATTCATTCTCCAAACAGCCAGCAACCACTCCGCGGGCGCCTACTTTGAGTCAAACACGGAGGTGAGTGCTGTGAAAGCCCCCCCAGATAGGAGGGGAGATTCACTCCTGACTCGTAAAAAGCTCAGGGTCGAACAAGCAGCACCTTCTCATCTGCTGGAACTGCGCCAAAGTGACACGTGTACATCCCCGGAAGAAAACTGGGGGCAGAGGTGGGCTTCCCGCGAACTTAGTCCCACTCCTCCCACCTAGTTTTAAGATCTGGAAACTGAGGCGTGCGAAAGGAGGCGGCCCGCACAAGGGCCTGCGCCAGTCTGGGGCGAGGACCTGGGCCTCGTGGGGCTCTACTGACCAGCTCCTTGACCGGGACCTCGTTCAGGTCGCTGAGGCTCAGGTCCAGCTCGTTGCCGTCCAGCTTGTCGCGGAGGTTCCCGCCCTTGCTACCGGCCTTGGTCATGGTGACGCCGGCCGAGCGGTCCCGGCTCCGGGGCCTCCGACGGGCAGGAGAGGGGCTGAGAAGCCGCTCGTCGGCTCAGTGGACTCGCACCCAACCGACAACGCCCGCGTCCGCCGCCGCCGCAGGTGCAAGACGCCGCCGTCTGCCCGACCGCCCGCTGCACTCTGAGCCCCGCGCCCAGCTCCCACGGGTGCCGCCGCGACGACGACCACTTCCGTGTCCACGTCACCTTCCGCGGCCACTGAGAAGGGCGGGGCCAGAGCGTCCAGGACGTGTGCGGGAGCGCCATCTGGCGCCGAGGAGGGCACACTGCAGGGGCCGCCACCTCCGGAAGGGTGGGGTTCAAAGTTGCGAGTTCGGTCACCCGGCTGAGCGGCCGTTTTCCCCCAGTGGCGCCGGGGTGCGTCACCGTTGCTGGCAGCGCCAGGAGGGGAAAGGGCACGGGACTGGGCGCCAGGAGTCCTGGATTGCATCCCAAACTGACTTCATCAGATCACCCCCATTCTCGTTGATTAGGAGCCAAAACTGCACGTCTTTCAAAATTGCTCCGGTCCTCTTTACTTAATCCCCAAATGATCATCACCCCGAAAATTCAGCCTCTGAATCTCTTATCTCCTCTTCCCTGCTCCAGCCCTTGTCCAGGTGGCCATCACCTCGCGCCTGGATTACTCTGAGTCTCTCTCCCTGCCATCCATCTCTACCCAGCTGCCCAGATGACCGTTCTAAAAATCTAACCAAGTCTTTCCTCTGCTTCAAACCCTTCAACCTCTGGCTACCTCTAGAATATGGACCACTCTCCTTTCTAGACTGGTCCATGCCTGCTTCTGCAGTCTCCTCACAAACCCCAGTCCCTCCTAGCCTGGGATGCTGCGTAGACTTCCATTAGGTGGCCTCTGATGTAGGAAACAAAGGCAGAAGAAAAATTATTAAATTTCCTTACTACCTACAACCCACTGATAAGTCCTTAAAACAGGCAGAGTGACATTGCTCTTGGAACTCAGCTGCCTCCATGTTAATACCTTGCTAAGGGCAAAGCAAGCCTGACCCCACCGCCGCCCCAGGATCCTGTAAGTCTACTTCGACATATAAAAATTCCTTTTGGAAACTTTATCTCTACCCCTATAAGATACATGTTGGCAATCATCCCGCAAGCATATGACTCACTGATATACATCTGAAGGGTCTCATGACTAAGGTTTTATTAGACAGTAATAAATGACCTTTTCCCAACAATAGCTAGCCCCCTCAAGGTCCTGGAAACCTTGCTTCCAAAATTCCTTAGAGACTTAGGCTATCCTTAACCCCCCTCCCAACTTGAAAGTATATAATGGGCCAGTCCTCGTGACCCCGGGGCAGCTCTTCCTGCCCACGGGTCTTGCCCCTGTGCTTTAATAAAACCACCTTTTTGTGCCAGAGATGTCTCAAGGATTCTTTCTTGGCCGCTGGCTTTGAACCCTAAGGTCTTTCCTACATCAGCCTCCACACCTTTCTCTCTCCTGGGATGGCCTTGCTTCCCAATGCACCTCTGTTTAGCTCATTTCTAGTCCTTCAGGAAACCTCCCCAGCAGGAAACCCAGAGCTAGTTAGGGCTCCCTCCTTGGGACTCTGATAATGTCCCACACGCTACCTTACTCTCAGAGGTGCTAGAGCTAGGTGGCTAAGGTGGGGCCTCTGGCTCTGCCAGTTGCTGTTTACGAAAGCTTAAGCAATCACCATGCCGTATTTAGGCATGGATAGATGAGAAATGTGCATAGTAATGGTACCTAGCTGGGAGAGTCTGGGGAGGACTGAATGAGCTTACCGAGCTTACTGTAGTGACTGGCATTTAGTAAGTACCTGATAAATATTAGCCATAATTCACAACTTGCCTTGTGTTATACTTATCTTTATGTGTCTGTCCTCGGACTGTGAGGGAGGGGTTTTGTCTTTGTATCCCCAGGGTCTGAGTGTCTGAGGCATGGTGGTTCTCATTCAAAAGTCTGCTGAATGAATGAATGAATAAATGAACAAACAAGTGAAGCACTTTACACACTTCACACCTCAGTTTGCTCATCTTTAAAATGGGCACATCAAAGCTTATCTCAGAGAGCAACTGTGAAGACCAAATGAAGTCAGTGCCATGACATATTCATTTCACAAATCCTTGTGCACACCCCTCCCACCCCCAACAAGGCACTGTGCCAGGCTTCTGGGAACCAGACAAGGCAATTGTATAATTATACATTAGCACTTGGCAATCTCTAAAGCCCTTGAGCATCCATTATCTCACTGTGATAAAGTACACAAAAAGACTATACAGCGCATTTTATTGTTCTCTCTCTCCCTTTTTTAGAGAGAACATGCACTCATGTGAGTTGGTGGGGGGGAGAGAATCTGAAGGGGGGGCTGGATCTCACGACCCTGAGATCATGACTGACCTGAGCCAAAATCAAGAGCCCGACGCTTAACCCCTTAACTGACTGAGCCTGCCAGACGCCCCTGTTGTCTCTTTTTTATTAAGGAAGAAACTCAGGGAGAAGTAACTTGTCCTCAGTCCCATAGGGGCAGACCCAAATCTTTTGATTCCAAATCCGGTTTGTTCTCACTACACCCTCTCATCCCTGCCCCCAAGGGACCTACAATCAACACAAGTAATTATTATATAAAGTAGAAAGGATAAGGGCCCTACCACATACAGACAAAACCTGTGTAAATGTACAGGGCTGCGGGTGGGTATGTGTTTGAGACTGATAACATCAGACTTACATATTTAAGAGCATTCTGTCCAGGGCTATGATTTACATATGTTATTTCTTTTAACTCACAACAGCCTTATAAGGCAGACATTATTTCGGTTTTTCAAAGAAAGTAACTGAGGCTCAAAGAGGTCAACTACTTAGCTATTTAAAGACAGTCGTGGTAAGTAGGTGAATGTATTTCACGACACGTGGGTCATACTCAGCATGGTGGAGAAAAAGAGCCTGGAGGAAGGAAGGGAGCAGTAAGGCACCATGGAGGAGGCGGCATTTAAGTCGGGCTTGGAAGAATGGGTCAGATGCAGACGGGCAGAGTCACAGCCCAGGACGTGGGGTGGAAGAGTGAGCAATTGACAGCAGCTGTTCACCCTGAGAAAGGTTTTTTGTTGTTGCTGCTGCTGTTGTTGTTGTCTTACTTCCCTAAGGCAGCTTGATGAGAAAGTGGAGCCTGTCATCTGTGGGCAGGTTTTCCTTGGGAACAATAGACTGGCCCTGGGCTGCAGGGCCGATCAGGTCGTGATCCCGGGGTCCTGGGATGATCAAGCCCCACAATGGGCTCCCTAAGGAGAACCTGCTTCTCCCTCTTCCACTCCTCCTGCTTGTGTTCCCTCTCAAACTGTCTCTCTCTCTCTCTCAAATAAATAAATAAAACCTTAAATTAATTAAATAAATAAATAAATAAATAAATAAAGTTTTTCAGTTTTGAGTTGCCAGAAAATTGTGATTGTTTTAAGATCCTATCTGCCTGTGTCTGCCATCAATTCCTGGTTGTGACTGAAGTAATGTTACT